TAGCCAAGGCAGTCAATCCAGTCAAGGGGCAGTCTATGCCCTAACCAATCACACCCTGTTGCCAGGCAGTTTCCGAAGCCATCCAAGCACAGCCTGTTACCAGGCAGACTCCTCTGTCATGTGGTTTCTGAAACCATCCAAACACAGCCTGTTGCCAGCCAGACTCTGTTACCAGCAGCCATCTTGGCATGGCCTTCTCATTCCACCGCATTTCTCTCTTTCCACTTTATTTTTGAGCAACAGGAGGCATGATTCTTGGCCATACCATTGTTGACCCCATTTCCATGTGGTCTCCATAAGCGGCTGTGCCTGTCTTAGGTTGTCCCCCAGGGGATCTTACCCGTCGTTGACTAACCAGCGCTCAAAACGGGAGACCACAGGATTGCTTGCTCAGATGGGGGTAGGAATGAGGAACAATGCTCATCAGGAATGGCTTGACTGCACACAGGCTGTGGGTCGTTTGAGTGGCTGACCAGAGCTAGTGGGGTATAAAACAGTAACAGATGTGGCTATGGGCAATTTCCCCAGGGTAGGATGATAGGGCAGGTGTATCTGCTAACAAGGCAGACTCTCAGTCTTGTTCAGCTGGCTCTGGTTGGCTGTCAGTTGCAGGCTTGATGTTTCTGGCTGGTACCCAAATGGGCTGTCCCACATTCTCTGGAAAGACACAAGCATATCCTCGACCCTTGGTTAGCAGAGGGTGTGGTCCCTTCCATTCTCCTGACAGAGGGGTCTTTCCACCTAGCCATAGGGGCTGGGGTCTGGGATGGAAAGGATCCCCAGTGTTTATAAGCTGGGCTGATTCTTGGGAATCAAAACTAAGAAAATTGATAGTGAAAAGGACCTTATTCAAAGCAAGCTGTGGGTCTGGGGGCATATGATTGTTTTTCTGTCTTTGTAAGAGATCTTTAATTGTCCTATGAGTTCTTTCAATGATTGCCTGTCCCTGTGGGTTGTATGGGATACCTGTGGCAGACTGTATGTTCCAGGATTTCAGGAAGGAATTAAATTCCTGTGATGTATATGCTGGCCCATTATCAGTCTTTATGGTCCAGGGGACACCAAGGACCAGCATGGCTGATTTAACCGCCTTTATCGTATTACTAGCCTTTTCTCCGGATTGGGCTGTTGAATAAGTATCTACCACCACATGGAAAAACTTAAGTTTACCAAAGGAGTTAATGCGGGTGACGTCTACTTGCCAGAGCTTATTTGGAGCAAGGCCTCATGGATTCACTCCTGCTTGCTGCAGTGGGCCTAATGGGGTGAGGGGTGCACAATTTTTGCAAGAGTGCACTAGGTGTTTGCATTGGCTCATTGTTAGCTCTGGGAAAAGCAATTTTATGTTGCTTGCTGACATATGAAATTTTTGGTGTAGAATGCGGGCTTGTTCTAGGTGTCCAATGGAAGCTGTGTTGCAGGAGATAAGACAATCAACCTTTTTGTTGCCTTGGTTAATAAAGCCAGGTAGGCCGGCGCCGCGGCTTACTAGGCTAATCCTCCGCCTAGCGGCGCCGGCACACCAGGTTCTAGTCCCGGTCGGGGCGCCAGATTCTGTCCCGGTTGCCCCTCTTCCAGGCCAGCCCTCTGCTGTGGCCAGGGAGTGCAGTGGAGGATGGCCCAGGTGCTTGGGCCCTGCACCCCATGGGAGACCAGGAAAAGCACCTGGCTCCTGGCTCCTGCCATCGGATCAGCGCGGTGCGCCGGCCGCAGCGCGCCGGCCGCGGCGGCCATTGGAGGGTGAACCAACGGCAAAGGAAGACCTTTCTCTCTGTCTCTCTCTCTCTCACTGTCCACTCTGCCTGTCAAAAAAAAAAAATAAAATAAAATAAAAAAATAAAGCCAGGTAACCCAGTATGTGATCTTACGTGTGAGATATACCATGGGTGTTTTCTGTTCTAGGTTAGCTCTTTAAATGTTGTGAACATCTGGTCAATTGGCTTATCGGTTGGGTTAAAGACTGCAAAAGGGATTGTCTTTGCCACCTGTACTGAGTATTTGCTGTCCAAAAATATATTTACTGGCCCATCCTGGCTAAGAAGTAGAACCTTAATTATTCTCCTTATTTCTCCCAATTGTACTGATCCCCTGTGGGGTTCTATGTGGATCTTATCTTTTTCTGTTGAGTATTTGATGACTATTCCAAACAGTAACTTGTTGCCATCCATAAACACACACAGTGCCATGGGTATAGATTGATTAGCAGAGAAAGCATGTTTTGGATAGTCTATTTCTAAGGTTTGTAACATCTGGAGTAGCCTGTCTGCTGGTAGGTGATTGTCAACCTAACTTTATAATGAGAAATGTTTATTCAGCTCACAGATTGGAGGTTCAAGTCAAAAACTGAGGGAGAAGTATGGCACAGGCAGAATGTGTGCGGAGGAACACTTGGCGGGCAAGTGGGGAGGCTGAAAGCAGCTAGGCCCAATTCAGTCATAACCAAAATCTCACAAGAACTGTTCTCTGAGGACACACCCCTGATGGCCTAAAGATGTCTCTCTTCGTTCACCTTTTAAGACACCATAATTGAACTAAGTTGCTATCCTCTGATTACAATTAATATATGGCTTTAGGTTTAAATGTCTGCATGATGTTGGGGGGGGGCAAGGCATATTCAAATTATAGCAGAAGGCAATGACTAGAGCAATGAAATACACAAAAACCTGTTAAAATACTGCAAGGGAAGGATGATGGGTTTGAAGGAGACTGGCAGGTGTTCAGGTGATGAAGTGGTCTGGGTATACCAGTAGAGCCAAAAGGATTTCCCAATGCATTGGCTATGGGACGTGAAAGAAAAGGAGAAAGCGGCCGGCGCCGCGGCTCACTAGGCTAATCCTCCGCCTAGCGGCGCCGGCACACCGGGTTCTAGTCCCGGTTGGGGCGCCGGATTCTGTCCCGGTTGCCCCTCTTCCAGGCCAGCCCTCTGCTGTGGCCAGGGAGTGCAGTGGAGGATGGCCCAGGTGCTTGGGCCCTGCACCCCATGGGAGACCAGGAAAAGCACCTGGCTCCTGGCTCCTGCCATCGGATCAGCGCGGTGCGCCGGCCGCAACGCGCCGGCCGCGGCGGCCATTGGAGGGTGAACCAACGGCAAAGGAAGACCTTTCTCTCTGTCTCTCTCTCTCACTGTCCACTCTGCCTGTCAAAAAAAAGCAGCCGAGAATCTCAGGGCAAAGGAAAAGGAGAAAGCAACAGGAAGGTAGAGTTGCCATCAACTGAAAAGGAGAAAGACGCTGGGTGGAACAGAATTGGGGACAAGTCCAGAAGGCAGAAACATCTACTAGATGTTCAAATGTGTACCTCAACTACACAGATGGATACAAAAATTTAAAGACCCTAAGAAAGGTCTGGAAGAGAAGCAACTCCTGGCATCACTGGTATAGAGAGTATTTTTTTCATTTATGCAAAATAAAAGCACTTCCAGAGTATGCAGAGGGGAACATTTCAACATGGAAGGGTTACTCGGTATCAGATGAGAATACATGCTGTCTGCTATTTCTACCTTTCTGGAGGGTAAATTATGGACCTGAGAAACAATTTTCCTAGCTCTGGCCCAATCTTCCTTTTGAATCTTGCATTCTTGAAGATCTACTTCCATACTGCTTTCCAAACTCCCATTTATCAGAATTCCCTGATCCATTACAAGTGCAAGATCTTGTGTGAAAATGAGCTTAACACTCAATAATACAAAGTAGATTATGTCTGATATTGGATAAAGCTGAGTGGATCTGGAGGTGTGGTACAAAGGGTTAAACTGCTTTTGGACACCAGCTTCCCATATGGGCCTTTCAGTTTGAATCCTGGCTCTTCTGCTTCTGCTTCAGCTCCCGGTTAATGCATCTAGGAGGGCAGAAGAAGACAACCCCAGTGCTTGGACATCTGCCACCCATGTGGGTAAACCTGGATTGACTTCTTTGCTCCTAGCTTTGGCCTAGCCTGGCTGTTGTGGCCATCTCAAGAGTGAACCAGTGGATAACAGACCACACTTTATCGTGTGTGTGTGTGTGTGTGTGTGTGTGTCTATCTATCTATCTGCCTATCTATCTGCCTACCTACCTACCTACATACACACACTATACATGTATATAAACTTCAAGAAATCATTCTTGAGGCCGATGCTGTGGCATAGTTGATAAAGCCACCACCTGCAGTGCCAACATCCCATATGGGCACTGGTTTGAGTCCCGGCTGTTCCACTTTCGATCCAGCTCTCTGCTATGGCCTGGAAAAGTGGTAGTGGATGGCTCAAATACTTCGACATCTGTTCCTATGTGGGAGACCTGGATGAAGCTCCTGATTTCGGAACAGCACAGCTCTGGCCATTGTGGCCACCTGGGGAACAAACCAGTGGATGGAAGACTCACTCTCTGCCTCTGCCTCTGCACAACTCTGCCTTTCAAATAAATACAAAGAAACCATTCTTCAGGCATGTCCCCAGATATAGACTCAGACAACAAATTACAAAAACAGTTACAAACATTCATGCAAACATAAAGACAGGACATATAAAGCTTTGTAAGCAAAAAATGAAACCCAGTGTATTAGAAAGTTAATTCCACTTGTAAGGAAAGAAATGCAGATCAAGTAAAAGTTGACATAAAAGCTTTGTATTATATATTTGTTCTATAAAGACTTTCATCAATGGACCGAGGTCTCTGTGCAACACATTTTCACAAAGTATTCAGAGATAAAAAGAAAATGATAATTACAAAAAGCCATAAAATTAGATTTGACAAAAGTAGATCTGGGCCAAACAGACAAATTAAAACTGAAATTACATTTTGGCCTGAATAAAAAATGACAACTCTGCGTAAGAATCTATCCAGTATGAACAAAACAGCAAAGCTTAAAAATTTACATGTTGACATATATAAAACTAGTCCAGGTCAAATTAAATGGGGAATCTAGAGGGCCAAAATATTAAAAGTCATATGCACTGTATTTAAAAATCATTAATCCTAGATTTTTAAAAAGGGAAGTTTCATGAATTAGTACATACTAACCTTTATCATTTCAGTGTCTCATGGATATAGACTCAGGTATTTCTGAATTCAGCATTAAACACGAATGGTTTTGATTACTTCTAAGGAGCAAGAGATAGCAGAAACAGAAATCAGCACAATACCTAGAGAACAGGCAGAAGGTAACAGAGAACCCTACTCCTTTCAACCTATCTACGCTGAATTCCTACTTCCCTAGCCATCCCAAACCAGAATGCCTCTCTCCACAATCAACAGGCAGATACTTCTATGATCCTGGAAACTATCAGCAAAACTGCTCCTCAGCTGCTCTAGCACTGAGGCACAGAGTAACCACAGCCTGTGATGCCGGCATCCCACATGGGCACTGGTTTGAACCCATATGGGCACTGGTTCAAGTCCCAGCTGTTCCACTGCTGACCCAACCTCCAGCTAATGCACCCAGCAAGCAAGCAGATGGCTCAGTATTTGAGCCTTCCCACCAATCTGGGAGACCTGGATTGAGTTCCAGGCTCATAGCTTTTGCTCTGACCAGCCCTGAAATGGCAAACATTTAGAGAGTGAACCAGTCAATGGAAGACTCCCCGGCCCCCATCATTCTGTGACTGTCTGTAACTATGCCTTTCAAAAATTTTAAAGAATGTTTTTCAAAAGTTAACCATTAAGTTCAAAAAATTTTATTCATCACCTCACATCCTACCCAAAATACCCCAGAGAAACATAATTTTACTAGTATTGCTTTGCTTTTTTGGCTATCAGCTACCAAAAAAATAAAGACTAAAGAACAGGCCACAGCAAATTATGGAACAGGCCACAACCTTTCAGAAGCTGCCAAGTGTCAGGTTGTTTCTGACATATTGTCATACAAACTTTGAAGTAAAGACTAAGCCGGCGCCGCGGCTCACTAGGCTAATCCTCCGCCTAGCGGCGCCGGCACACCGGGTTCTAGTCCCGGTCGGGGCGCCGGATTCTGTCCCGGTTGCCCCTCTTCCAGGCCAGCCCTCTGCTGTGGCCAGGGAGTGCAGTGGAGGATGGCCCAGGTGCTTGGGCCCTGCACCCCATGGGAGACCAGGAGAAGCACCTGGCTCCTGCCATCGGATCAGCGCAGTGCGCCGGCTGCAGCGTGCTGGCCGCGGTGGCCATTGGAGGGTGAACCAACGGCAAAGGAAGACCTTTCTCTCTGTCTCTCTCTCTCACTGTCCACTCTGCCTGTCGAGAAGAAAAGAAGCAAAAAAGGAAAGACTAAACAGAAGTCCAGTGCTAACTGTAAGGAAAAGGGTGCGTGCAGAGCAGTGCCTCCTCACACTGGGCACCAAATGTAGGGAAAAGGGTGCAGATGAACAGCAGTCAGAAAACAAACTCACAGCCAGGTCAAATTTAGTCAAAGAAAATAAACTCTCAGAGTTGGACCAACAGCCAGCGAACACACAGACTGAACACATGGCAGATGACCCAGACTCCTGTAAGCTGGGCCTTTTGTATCTTAAGTGGGTTGGGGGTGGGGAGCCATAGGCGGAGGGGAGCATTACATAAAAGTTTTTCAAGTTTTTCCTCCTGGCTTTGAAACCTGGGGAAGAATGAGAATATAGGATTGAGAGATGAAATTGGCCCCTTGAAAGAAGGCAGGAATAACCAGAACTTAAAATGGCTGAGGCTTGTATACTTGCTTCCTCAATCCGGATTCTGAGTATAGATAAGGAGGTGGGGCGTCAGTCTCTTTCTGGCTACTTCCTGCTGATATAGGGTGTAGACATGGGACATGGGACATGTATAATTCTACACACTGGATCGGATTGATTGGGGAAGGAAAGCAAGCAGCCTTGTGCTGCTCCTGCATGATGGCTCCAGATCTAGAAGTCATGTCCTCCTCCAAAGGCTTTTGAATCATTTTAAATGTATGTGGTAGGAATAGGAGCACTGTGATTACGGGGATAAATGGAGAAATTTTTAAAAAATTGCCCCAGTGGAAAAGAAGGCCAAAATGAGGACAATGGAGAATAAAGGACAGAAAGAGGCCTGTCCAATTAGTGGGAAGACAGTTGTATGCCTGAGTGCTCCCATTTTATTTAAGGTGTCTAACCAGCAGATCAGTACACAGGGTGAAAAACAGGACAGAGTCATTATTAGAGGATCAAAGAAAGGTGGGAGTTTTCCTCTTTAGAGGTAGGCAGAAACTGACAGAAGGGGCTTCATAATAATCAGGTGGGCTTTAAGGCCTGGCCCAGGTATGTTGTGAGGCCCAGGCCTATCTATCTCTTCACAGGTAGCACTGGATGAGACATCATAGGGGAGGTGAGAAGCTCCTTGGGGGAAGACACCCCATTGATGGCCATTACCTAGCTGGCTGGGGAGGAGGGCTGGTCTGAATAGGAGGTTAGTATTGAATAGGAGGCATCTGTGCAGCATTGCCTTGATTGGTACTGACCCTAGGCTGTCCTCCTGATGGCAGTGGTTACTCTGGGAGCTGGGCAGAGGGAAGGGCTTTGTAGCCTGGGGCCAACAGGGTCTGTGGTTATGACCCAGGAGTCCTTCAACCCCTGGGGCAGTTCCGTTTCCAGTGGCCTGGCTCTTGGCAGAGCTAACAAGGCTCTTCATGACAGCTGCTTGTCCAATGCCCTGACTCCTCATTTCCTAAACAGGTGCCATCCAGGGGTGGACTGGCCCTCTTGGGTCTCCTTGATGGCAGATCACCATGTAAAGCAGCCAGTAATTGGCCTACCACCTATCCTTACATTGCTCCTGCTGCCTCAATCACTCCTCTTTCTTTGGGTTTCTGTTAAAATAGAACACAGAAGCAGCCTTTAGGAATGTCTGCCAAGGGGTTGCTCAACCCCTTCCCTAATTTTGGTGGCCTGAGCTAGACACTTATGGTTACAGGCATGTAACGACAATATTCTTCATGTGAGGGAAGACGATGCCCGTGAGGAAAGCTATGTCCTTCTATGTAAGATCAAAGGATAAGACCACATCATCTAAACTGTCTTCTATAAGGTCTGAAGATCAAATTACACCCTGACGGAGAGTCCTGCAGAATAGAATCAGTTTCCCATCTTGAAGAGAAAAGAGAAACGAGGGAATGAGTCAGGCATCCCAGATTGCTCACTGTCAGTAACAAAATCAAGTGAAAACTTAACAAACAATTTAAGCTGTCAAATAACTTACAAAATCATTTATCAAAAGGTCCAATGCCTTCTACCAATTTTAGGAGTACATGTAGTTGGAAATATTTCTTGACTATCTAACACAAGTACAAGCCACTTGAAACAGACCTGTTAGTAAATTCTCCCATGTAGACATACAAAGATATAACACATTACAGGAGAGAACAACAAAACACTTCCAGTTATTAGAAGAGAGAATTTGGCTGCCACTAGAGAAGGGAGGGGAACAGATAGAAGATGATAGGCATGGGGCATTCTTTGCAGCAATGTTGCTCAGGAATTACCGCTGTTCTTGAGTTTTTCCTTGATAACTCTGCAAAACACATTATTAGAGATTGCTGACACAGAGGTTTTGTCTTTGTGTTATAGAGAATTTAGATATGATACAGAGCAGCAGTGCGAGATGCAGCTCCATTATGTTAGGCTTAGGATTTTAGGGTTCATAGGAGAAGAGGAGACAGCTACTTAGAGAAAACTATTTTAGGGAGGACAGAATGGGGGAGGTGGTAAGGAGAGAGCAGGGGCTTGAGCTCCCTGGGACAGAGGGCCAGGTTGGGTGTGTGGGTGTGGTGGCTTCAGTGCATTTGAACAGCCTTTTTCTTTTTTTATAGAAAATTTTATTTAATAAAAATAAATTTCAAAAGTAAAACTTCTGGATTATAGCGGTTCTTCCCCCAATAACCACCCTCCCACCCTGCAAATCATCCCATCTCCTACTCCCTCTACCATCCCATTCTTCATTGAGATTCATTTTTAATTATCCCTGTATACAGAAGATCAACTCTATACTAAGTAGCCATTTCAACAGTTTGCACCCACACAGACACACAAAGTATAAAGTACTCTTTGAAGACTAGTTTTACCATTAATTCTCATAGCAAGTGCACATAGCAAGTGCACAAGGACCCTGTTGTTGATTTAACAATTGACATTCTTATTTATGACATAAATAATCACCCAAGGCTCTTGTCGTGAGCTGCCAAGGCTATGGAAGCCTCTTGAGAGTTCTCCAAGTCCTACCTTAGTTAGACAAGGCCATAATCAAAGTGGAAGTTCTCTCCTCCCTTCAGAGAAAAGTACCTCCTTCTTTGATGGCTCCTTCTTCCCACTGTGATCTCACTCACAGAGATCTTTCATTTAGGTCATTTTTTGCCACAGAGTCTTGGCTTTCCATGCCTGAAATACTCTCATGGGCTGTTTAGCCAGATCCGAATGCCTTAAGGGCTGATTCTGAGGCTAGAGTACTGGTTAGGGCATTTGCATTCTATGAGCCTTCTGTGTATCCTGCTTCCCATGTTGGACCATTCTCTCCTTTTTAATTCTATTAATTATTATTAGCAGACACTGTTCTTATTTATTGATCCCTTTGACACTTAATCCTATCTTTATGATCAGTTAGCGCGTGCTGAACTGTGTATCTCCTCCTCTTTGTTAAAAATAAGAGTCCTTTCTTAAGCTTCTACTTGGGGGAGATGCAGAGCACTGCAAGGACCCTGATATGTTGGGCAGAAAAAAATGAGAAAAGTCCTAGGTGAAGATTACAGTGAATTTTAGTATGAGTTTGGAATGTCCCAGGTGCAGAGCTTTCCAGAGCAATAAACATTCTGCTAGCCTTTACACTATCTTTCTACATCCAGGGGGAGAGAGTGACAGAACGGAAGAGGAGAGGTCAGGAAGAGAGGAGAGACTGTTTTGGCTGCCATTGATAGGGGTGGGGAAGACACAGACAGGAGGAATGGCTAAGTAGAGGGTCATGTTCCAGAGGCAGCAGCATCCCCAAGACAAGAATGGAAGGGAAAGTCTAGGGTTTGAGAGAAGGGTCCAAATGTTTCTCTGGCTTGAGGGGTTGGAATGAGAAAAATTGACCTCAAAGGAATAGGGTGAGTCCACCAGAGAGGAATCACCAGGTGGAAGCTCAGGAGGACCCTGGGGCAGGTAGGGGA